ATTATTATTATTATTATTATTAATTTTATTATTATTATTACTAATATTGTTATTCTAACGATATCTTTTGAAAGAAATTAAATTCTTAATTTATGATTTTGATTAACAAAGTGGTGAAAGGCATAGTTCATTCACAACATTACAGCCTCCACTTACACTTTGAACGATTGCACTTTGCCGGAATTAGTGGCATCTGACATATTGAACTTGGTCCTACAGGTTTGTTGTGAAAAAAAAGAGTAGTTAAGAGTGCCGTAGTTATGTTTAGGGTGTCAATGGGAATGCCACCGGACCTACTCACTTATGTTTGCTCTACTACTGAACACCGGCCTGCAATGCAATGGTCACTACTGAAAGTGCTCTGAACAATTTACTAATTCTGTTACCGTGTATCAACTTTCGGGGACTGGAGTTTTAGAGAAATACAACCTGTACATATTATTAACGAACGGGTAGCAACAGTGACCGCATAAATATATTTCTTTCCGACCTTTTAATTGCAAACACGATCTAAGTTTTAATAAAACCGTGCTGCTTTTATTTGATCGACCGTAAAACAAATCCGTTGTTCAAAATAAGCATTATAATATTTGGTCTTGATTAGTCGTAACTGGACTAAATCTTTATTTCGACAAAAGTTGGTTGTCAGGAAAATATAACAGCAAATGACAAAACTGGCTTAGTTCCAGCCATCATTAATACCACTCGACTTGACCAAACCACTAAGCACGAAAAGCGTGACAAGAAACACCTCAGGAGAAATATCTTAATAAGCAATCTAGACGAATGCTTCATTAAGAAGCCACTGACAATGGACTTTGCAGTAAGAAGCAAACTATGAGCTTAGAAGTTTATCCACCAGGTGAATCCAAATACATTTCAAGAAGCTTAGAAAATGTTTTCATATAATTCCACTCAATAAAAATCACTGCTGCTAAAAAATACAACTTTTTTTTCCAGCTATTACATGTTTGAAAGTTCTCTTCAGTTTTTTTTTTAAGTCGGAACCGCTCAAGCTCACCTCATTCACAACCAGTCTAAGACTGCCTACAAAGACTCATCAAAATGTTGCATTACCAAAGATGTCAAAAAGTTAAGCTTACTTCACTAAAATGAAAAAATATTTTAATTCCAAGTAACGTTTCGACTATAATTATGAACTCTTAAAAAGAGAAGGTGCTCTGTGAGACGGTATCAATAATCGATAAATAAGGAAATTTACGAACACCAGAATTATGGACTCAGACATCCAGTAGAAGCTTCTTGAAACGTTAAATCTTTTTGAGGACTAAACCTGACCTTCAGACTAATTTCTTACTGGAAATGAATTGCTTTTAAATGCAATATTCTAATTGTAATACTGCTAACGAATCATGACTTTGGAGAAAAGATAAGTTTAATTGTACCTAGAACATTACAAATTTAAAGCAAGTTTAAGAATAAAGTAAAAATTTTACTTTTACACCCAATCTCACTTCCTGAAAAAGTGACAGAGTTTTGCTATACTGTACCTCAAACAAAAATGAAAGGTAGCAGCTAATCCCACGTCACCCCAATTGCTTCAACATGACTAGGAGTCCGTTTCCTCCAGAAAGTGCGGAAAAATAACATATTTTATTAAACCTTTCCTCCGCGACATGTCTAGACTGCTGTTGGTTGAAAACGAAACTCCAATGTTCTTTGAGTTATTACTTGAACTCGCTTGCTTCCCAAATTAATTTCTCATTGTAGAACCTGTTAGTTTGATGACGAATTCCAACCAG